CTAGCGACGACTGGAATACGAAGCTTGTGAAGCTTGCAGAACTTACGAAATGTTAAACCAGAGTGCGAGAAACAAGAACCGATAAGGAACGTGAACTTTGATTCACATGTTTCATGGAGAATTATTCTAAAAAAACTATCTAAAGATATTGTAAGTAATCAGAGTGCGAGAAACAAGAAACGATAAACTTTTATTTATATTATTATTCTATGGAAAGTTATTCAAATATCTAAAAACATATCGTTGTAAATTTATAAAGTCTGTGTGAAATATTATGAATATTATTTTGAATATCATTAGTATTAAACTGCAAGAAATAGGAAGAAGTTCGCAACACAACAACGAACTTTTATTTATATATTTTTGAAAAAATCATTCGGATTTAAAAATATATTGTTGCAGATCTGAAAGATTGAAAATTGATAATTTGCATTGTTCTGCTGTTTATAAAAGTATAAACTACAATCCAATGATCCTATGTTATTTATCTTTCGGACAATCGTGTTAATATTCATGTGTTTGTGGTTGAACATTTACAAGTTCAAAAATATCTCTCTCTCAGGACAATCGTTTCTAGGATTATAGCAACCTTTGGTATCATAGTCGCGTTTCAGGTGCAATTTCTACGAGCAACTGCAAGAAATGTGTGTCAAGGTGAGTGCCGGCAAGTGAGAAAAAATGCCTCTCGTAACACGTATGTACATTTTACGCTGCAGATTTTAGTGTATTAAAGTCCACTGCAACTTTTAAATATCTCTTCTACAATCTATATATCAATAATAAATAAATTGTTCAGCAATAAATATGAACACTATTCCCTGATAAATTAATGTCGATATTTAGTTTTTAAAAACGACGCACTCTCGACTTGTCAAGTTAGTAAGAAATTATTGATTAATCGAGATACGTTTAGAATTCAGTTTGAACTGAAGCGAGCTTGATTTTCAACAATCGACAATTGTAATGTGATTTCTCTAACGATTTTCACATCGCGAATGATTTTATACACAAAGAAAAAAAAAAAAAAAAAAAACAAGATTCCAGTCTGTGTCGCTCGAAGTTTCACGTCGAGCTGTCCTCTTTTTCGCGTGTACACACTAAAGTGTGTAACTAAAGTACAGTCAGCGGAATCGATACACCGTTTCCAGTCGCATGACTTGCCCGGGGGGGTATATATCTGGAAAAGGTAACTCGTGTTATCCGAGTGAACCTCCGAACACTTGCACAGCGGATGCGTGAGCACACACCCACGCGATATATCGGCAAATATCGTTCCCGATACGCGACGCATACAACACGAGAACAAGTATGCATTACTAGCAATATGCATTGCGTACGTATGCGTGCGTAACGCGGCGAAAGCTTCGCCTAGAGTTCTGCATAATGGACACTGGAATGTCATTTTGTATCAATCTGCCATCGATGTAATGCCCGCGAGTTCTCCAAGAGAGAACTCTACATCGATCCCTGTGAATTTACGATTTTTCAATTTGTTTCGTGGAAATCGACAACTGCGATTGTTGTGAAATGGCAAGAGATCGAGGGTAAAGAAATGATTCATCAATCCAGTGGTACTAGAAATCATTTCTTAATTTCTTGAAATTTTTGTCAAATTACAGACGAAGGGAATAACGATAAGATATTATTATTATTATATCCAATATCTAGGGAATAGAATAAAATCGAAGTTGATCTTTAACTCGAGTGAATCCTTCGACAACATGGTACAATTTGAATAAAATTAAAAAAAAAAACGATCTTTTATTCTAGTAACTGTAAGTTCAAACTGCGAGCCTTTCTTTTATAATTTTACAAGATAATCGAACAGTTCGCTTTGTTCGTAAAAATTTACTCGTGAAATTCAGTGTGAAAACTGAATACCCGCGTGGAACGTTGTTCTCGGAACAAAACATTGGTCCTTCAAATTCCTTCCAGAATATTTTGTGGTTTTTCGATGTTCCCTCGGTTTTCCACGATCCTTTCCACTACAACATTCTCGCGTTAATAAGGCATAACGTTATTAAATTCCCGTGGTTTGTCACACTTTCTTTACTCCGTGGTTAGCAATCTAGATTAATTGCAACGAAGTACATCGCGTTAAACGTACGTTTACCAGCCTCATTGTAATAAACGAGCGGGCTGATCGTGCTCAAATTAATATCAGGAATATGGATATTGTAAAGCACGATAACGATCAATTCTTTTCTTTTCTTTTCTCTTTCTTTTCTTTTTTTAAGCTTCTATTTAGATAAATTATATCCATACTATATATATTTGTTTCAATGAACTGTTGGCCATTTTTTCGACTTTAACCTAAACCTAACTTAAACCTAACCTAACCTAAATAACTTATAACCTAACTTAAACTTAACCTAACTATAATCTAACTGTAACCTAAATCTAACTAAACTATAATCGACCTAACCTAACCTAAACTAATTATTAATTAATATCTTTATAAAATCAAGGCACGCGCATTGACAAGTGAATTTATACGCATCTTGAAAATATAGAAATGTTGCCCAATAATATTTATTATTATTAGTTTACAGTTAGAACTCATGCGAACGAATCTTCTTCCCCTGATGTTTTTACGCGTGCAAGTTGATTTTCGAATATTTCAAATAAATCGAAATGAAATCAGGGATATTTCTTTGAAGAATCGAAATGCTGTTGAAGTTGGAAGAACAATCGTTACGGTGTATACGCGAATGCAAATGAATTCAACAAAAGGCAGTGAAGTTGAACAGTTTTTTTTTTTTTTTTTTACGAGTAACAGTATCTTGCTGGAGGAAATATCGAAAGGTCATGAATAGATTGCGGATGTTTGTGCAACTTTACATTTCTACGGAGATAGTTGTAAAAACAGAATTATGAAGGATAATTGTTAACACCAGAATAGGCTGGCTTTTGATATCAAAATCACATCTACGTACAAATCATTTAAATGATAATAATTAACAAATAATTCAAATGACAATATAATAATTAAAATAAGTAGATTTATACAATTACGTCTCTGTTATGGAGTTAATATTATTTCTGACAAACGGATGATTATTAAAAAAAAAAAAAAAAGGAAATTTGAAATTCATCATACTGATATAATATGTTTCTAGCGTTAAATATTGTAGAGTATTATTTTTTTAATGTTCTATATTTTTGCGTTTCATTATGCTACCTTTGCAACCCCAAGTATTTTTCATAAAATTTCTAACATCCATACCAATTAATTTTTGTCAATTGATCTGATCGATGAAAACCTGTTACTATTAAATATTTGTCTAACGCCATAACTTCAGTGTTCTGAATATTTCATACTAGACTATTGTTAATATCAAGTTGAAAGCGAGTTCCTAGCATATCAAAACCAGTATCAAATACCAAGATATGAGTGTGAGATATTGAACTGATATTTAACTCTGTAGGTAAAGTGGGTCATTGATAAGCGGAAATTCACCCCTTGTTATTTTTGTTGAAAGAAATTTTATATATTTGAATTTGATTGCCTGATGTAGTAGATATATCGATAAATATTTCAGAATGCTTTCAAACCGAGATCAAAATGAAGAACATCGAAAGAATTAAATTTACTTAAAAAGCGTCGATTGGATAGACGACAATAGAAATTAATGTAAATACTTTTTACATCAAGCCGGGAGACAATTTGATCATCAGTTATTGACATTTAAAGAAACAACATTTAAAAAGACCAACGTAGACGTGTTATAACAAATGTACATAAATCAAATTAAATCACATAGATTAAATTAATAAAATAGATTACATCCAACGATACATGGATTATTCAAAATTATCTTCAAGTCGGCCATGATTTTAAAACTCTTCTGTTTCTTTCAAATTTCGCAGCATTGAATTGTTCACTTCTCGAGACAGCGATTTATCGCGATCGAGGAAGTAGCCAACGTTCGAGCTGAAAAAACTATCCGATCAAAAGGTGACTCGGTTATTCTGTCAGAAAATATCTGCATCGAGCACAATAACGTTAAATTACAGTGCAATTCATATGTGAAACGTAGCGTGGAAACGTTCCGTCACGTAATGCGTGCACGTTCGGACATAACCGAGGAAAAAGCCGTGGAGAAAAGATTAGGTCTTCGGCTCGTCAGTCGAGTACCGTTTTCTCGATCACGCAAAAAGGTGACACGCATTCGAAAAGTCGTCGGTAGTCGGCATACCGGCATGTCTGTCTGTGTATGTATGTTTTCTATGTATGTCCATCCGAGACTTTCCAACTAACGTTGCAGGAAACGCACATGCTTCGCCGCAGTTGACGGTGAATTACGCGCTCGAATTCA